GGGAGTTTAGACACTAGTGTCCTATTTAGACACAAGTGTCTAAAATGCAATGTTAGACCATAATGTCTGATTTTTAGACACCAGTGTGAGTTAGATCTAACTATGTTTTGTCGTGCCTTTGGTTTTTTAGAGAAATATAATGTTAGACCATAGTGTCTGATTTCTAGACACTAGTGTGGGTTAGATCTAGCCATGTTTTGTCGTGCCTTTGGTTTTGTAGAGAGATGCAGAGGTTCACTTGGTGCCCTGGAATTATGATTATTCCGAGGATATCTATGATGGTTTGTTTATTTCTAATGGGCCTGGAGATCCTGCCTTGGCATGGGATGCTGTTCTGAATCTCCGCAAGGTTTGGTTGTCTTCACATTAACACTAGTGAACTTTGTCAGAAAAAAAAAAATAAAATTTAGTTACCAAGGAGAGGGATATACTGACTCTGAATTTTATACTATGAACAAGCAATAAATTTGCAGCATTTACTGATTTGGCTTTTATGCAAAAGACAGTGTTCACTTACCAATAATTTCAGGGGCTGTGTTTATTTTGAATTTTTGAAACACTGAAAAAAATTTTAGAATAGTTATAATTTAGGATAATGAAGATGACCATATTGCACTTTTTGGTCCTTTTTTGTCTTAAACTCCTCCTTGTTTTCTCGTGAAGGACATGTAGTTGATAACAATTTTTTTGTCCCTAAACACAGTCCATAATAGCAGGTCCAGGTTGAATTGACCCTAGAGTTCAAAACAAGAAACTGCTCTGTTTTTCTGTGCCACTGACAAATAAGTATCAATGAGTATTTTTCTTTTTCTCTTTGTTCATCTATTCAAGGTGTTAAAGAATGGGCGTAACCAGCCAATATTTGGTATCTGTATGGGGAACCAACTCACTGGTCTGGCAGCTGGTGCACAGACTTACAAGCTCCCACTTGGAAACAGGTAAATTAATTTTGATTACCTTTTAATCATATTTAAAGTGTAACCAAATCGACTTTTGACAACTTAGAGACTCAGTTATATACTGTATTTCTATCCTATCCAGAGGACATAATCAGCCAGTGATAAACCAGCTAAACGGACAAGCATTTATAACCTCCCAAAATCATGGATATGCAATTGATGAGAAAACTCTCCCTTCAGATTGGAAATCACTGTTTATTAATGCCAATGACAACACAAATGAGGTACAAGCAGGGCTTTAAATAAATTTTTTCATAAGCAGCTGCCCATGACATAAAAGGCAGTTTTACTATTTGGCGAAACACAAACACGAGAGCGTGTTTGCATGCTCAACAGACGGGTTGCGAGAGACTGGGTAAACTGCCGGTAACTGGGTGTTATGGAAATCCTTGACTGTACAAGCCAACATATTTTGGGTTTACCTATTTCCACATACTTGCTTCTCTGAATAAGGAAGATGTATTACTAAAATTTTTCGCTTGGTCTTGATAAAAAAAGAAAAATGATTCTGTTTTATTCGTAATGCGCATAGGACAGACAAAAAAATCTGAGCGCAGAAACTGATGGTTAAGGGGACTGAGATTTTCTGGTGAATGAATAACATCATTTTTCATTAAGTTATCTACTTGATTTATTCATGAATGAAGGTGTCAAGTTTCCAAAGAAACTGTGGGGAGTAAAACAAGAAACTTTGGTTTTATCAACTGAATTGATAAATGTAAATTGGCCATCTCGTAAAGAGATTCTAATGGGGATAGTTTGAGGCCAATCGTTGTTCGCTCTGACAAAGGGCTAACGCTCGAAATGTCAGCTTGAGTCAATCCTTTACATTATAAATTCAGTTGATCAAAACCAAATTATCTATTTAATTTATTCATTGATTCTTTTACTTACATTGTCCATTCATAGGGCATTATGCACAAAGACAAACCCATCTTCACCGCACAATTTCATCCAGAAGCATTTGGTGGACCAACGGACACAGAGGTGACTTTCAATTGACTCTTTGCTTGAGCTCCCACAACCATAAAATTTTGACTCTTTTTCTAACCTGCCTTTTTCTTTTCTTTTTCTTTTAGTTTCTTTTTGACACATTCATGAATCTTGTCAAAGGTGGGAAAACATCGGTGGACCATGCTATGGGGAGACCATTCAAAGTTCCAACACCCCCAAAGGTAAGGAATCTTCATCCCGGGATTTACCTGTCATCTTTCTACCCACCCCAAGCTGTGTGGCACATTAGCCCCGCGACTCCCTCTCTTTCAGTTGCTGTGGTCCTGACCTCATTCCAGGATTTCTATCCCACGTCCTTTCTCTCTTTTTCACCTGTACGAGCTGCTTTCTAGTGTCTTCCGTTTTCTCTTTCTTTCCGATTCCTATGTCTTCCCATCTTACTTTGAGTATACTTCACACGCATTTGTTGTAGATCACAACAACTTTTTTGGCAACTCCCTTGTTAATTTTCCAGCCTTAAATGTACAACAGTTACTAACGTTCTCTAAATCGAACAAGTCTTATTGCCTGATGCATATAGAACATAAACAGTTAACACTGCATAGGGCAGAATGGGTGGACATCATTAATTATTCATAATCAAATTTGAAGGCGACCTCGCTTTAAGGAGCCCTTAAGTAGAGAAGAATGGGCCAAAATTGGCCAACTAGCCTTCGTAAAACTCGCTTTTCTAAGTTTTGGAAGTGTTTGCTTCTTAATCAATGGACGGCTTTTTGAAGATTAAAGATGCATCTACAATTTGCATCTAAAATGAACGATTTTTACGAAGTAGAAGTATTATCCTTTTGCACTTGAAAATAAACTAAATTCGGGAATTTTTAGTCTGAAAGTCATTTTCAAGAGCGATTTTCTGAAAAACCTCACTACCTTGATTTAAAATCAAGTAACCTGTTGGTTTTCCAGGTGTCAAAAGTGTTAGTGTTGGGCTCTGGTGGTTTGTCCATCGGTCAAGCTGGTGAGTTTGACTACTCTGGTTCTCAAGCAATAAAGGCGTTAAAGGTATGTTACCTTAGAAAGAATCAGATTTCTTATTTTATTTAAAGCTTACAAGTGGTCCTTCCTCTTTAGTGAAGTCTGTCGCGCGTGTAAAAAGAATTAGCAAAACAAATTGGTGTTAGCGTGCTGTGTGAAGCTCTAGCGCGCTAACATTAAATTTTTTTTCACTTTTGTTTTTCTTACTTACGTGACAGACTTCGCCGAAAAGGAAGGACTTGATTTATCAATTGAGTTATTTTTTTGAAGTTATTCCCTAAAGCCAAATGGACTGATTGGCCTGAAGAAAGACGGATTGCCCCAATTCATGATGCAATATTTTGAGGATGTCTCTTTTTCAGTGATTGATAACTTAACATTGTACACTACGTGTAATGTTTCATGTGTTTATATCTTTTGTAGGAAGAAAATTTGAAGACTGTTCTAATGAACCCCAACATCGCTTCAGTTCAAACTAATGCAGAAGGAGAGAAGCAGGTACAGAATCATTCGCAATTATTAATTATTAATTATTAATTGTTAATTATTAATTGTTAATTATTAATTATTAACAATTATTAAAGACTGGATCATTGGATAATGCAATTCAAGACTTTTTATTGGCTTAGCCATTATGGTATATCAGCCAATATACCATAATCTACAAATATGGTAAGCGTACGCATCAGCTTAAAATCAAAAGGGTGCTAAAAAATCCAGTTTCTTCATACAAAATAATAATTTCTTGGGGGGCGTTTTTAATAAAACAATTATTCCACTCGCGCTTGTTGGATATGAGATGATTATAGCCAACTCGGCGCTACGCGCCTCGTTGGCTATCTATCATCTCATATCCAACGCGCGCTCGTGGAATAATTGTTAATTATCAGCATTCTTTTCGTGAGCTGTCCAACTACAATCATTTCCTGTTTACAGTTTGAACCGCAGGAAAGTGTCGCAAATTTACGTTAAATCCTAGCGCCTCATAATTAAAATAACAATTTTCCACCAGAGTTTACTACGATTTTCAGTTAAGTGAGGCGCGACAGAAGATTGGCAACCACTTTTTGATGCTAGAATCGTGTTGTCATTACGGGCAACTGGTTCCTTTTCCCGTGGCAGCGCCGTCGTTTGACCTCTTGGCAGGCTTTCACGTCTGGCTTTTGGCGACGCACAACTCTTCAAACTCGGTTACGTTTGGAAACCAAACCGTAGTTTTTAAGGCCAAAATCTCATCACCAAACTTTTACCGCGCTTCACTAAACTGATAGTCAAAGTGCATACAGCCACACTCTTAAATCTCGTTCGTTTTCTTGTCCCAGGCAGATGTAGTGTACTTTGTTCCCATAACTGAACAGTTTGTTGAAGATGTCATCAGGCGTGAAAGACCAGATGGCATTCTATTATCAATGGGTGGTCAAACAGCCTTAAACTGCGGTATGTTCGGAAATGATGCATTTACTCTTGCCTACTTCTTATCCTCCATACTATTTTCTATACATTTCCTTTTGTACTGACTTGGAAAATTTTGTTTGACGATCAACGCATCTCAGGTTGGCGATCATTTCTTTTATTCTCATGATCTTTATGAATGATTCAGCTGTATTATTGTAAGGAGAAATGACATGTTGGTCACACTCAGGGTTTTAAAGGGTTCAATTATTTTTTTTTCTGCTCTGTTTAGGAGTTGAGCTGTATGACAAGGGATTGTTTAAGAGATATGGTGTTGAGGTGTGAACTTTTTTTGCTTTCATGCTTGTACTTTTAAACTTTTTTGATTAGGAAAAGCTCAAAATCAAGGTACAATGTTTATAAGTAGTTAACATCGCTTGGATAGCTCCGAACCAATGAGAGGCAAGTATTTCAATCACATGAGAGGTGTTAGCCAATCATATTACAGTAATAGCTAAATCCAAGCGGTATTAACTACTTTTATGGGATCCATGATTGTACTAGGTACTTCTTAACCATGATAATGATAATACTGCATTTCTATCGCGCACTCTCCATATTAATATACTGAAATGCGCTTTGCAACACTTTGCGGCGGGGCTTTGGCCAGACTGCATCGAGCAGTTTACGATTTTTGAAGGGAAAATTGGCATGTGTTCCCCAATTTAGGAATTTGTTTGAGAACAAGGTCACCACAGCACCAGGAGCTATGTTCCTTACTCTTTGCAAGAAGCGCTGGGTTCTTTAACGTTCCCTGCTAACTGGCACAGAGGAGATGCAGGAGACGGGGCCTACAATGTATCGTCCTTAGCCGAGTGGACTAGAACGTGTAACCATTTGCGGATGCCGTAGCAAAGGCAGCACGTTCCCCTCAGTTATCCCTCTACAGTAGATTTTCATTGGTCATTTTTCTTTATCACACAAAATCAAGCAGCTTTCCTTGGCAATGGAGTGCATGTGCTAAACATTTTGTATTTTCAGGTGCTCGGAACACCGATAGAGTCAGTCAAAGCCACGGAAGACAGGCAAATTTTTTCTGACAAACTTACAGAGATCGGAGAGAAGATAGCCCCTAGCGTCGCTGTGGAAACGGTAAGTCTTATGATCAAGTCACACAATCTTGATCAGCGCAGTTGTCAAAACGTCATTCACTGCCTCCACCAGAACTACTGACCCTTACCTAAATCGGCTCAATATACGATTGTGTGATCAGTTTTGGTACTATTTTGTTTTCTAGTACTTTTAATCCTAAAACTGAATCTTTTGTATACGTAAACGTTTTGATGCGTAAGTTATCTGTTGCAGGAAGAGTCGGCTGTAAAGGCCGCCAAGAACATTGGGTTTCCTGTAATGGTTCGCGCTGCTTATGCTCTTGGAGGACTGGGATCAGGCTTGTGTGAAAATGAAGAGAAATTGAGAGAAGTCGCAAGACAGGTGATTTCGATAAATTGAAACTCGTCAGTTGTACAAGCTAGACAATGAATAACCCTGTTAAAAGCTTTAGACAAACAATGATTTGTTTCCTCTTTGTATTTGTTACACTCGATTAGCTATATTTCACTTCTCTTTTCTCCGTGAGCATTAAAATAGAAAAAGGTATGTAATGGTTCAATTCAATGTAGATAGGTCGCGCGCCGTCCGCTCAAACGTGGTTCATAAAAAAATACGGGCTGACACCACGGGGCAGAGCGTCCCCTCGTTTAGTACAGTAGGGTATCCGTAGCTATTTTTGGGATAGATGCACTTCGAGAACATAAAACCACGAATCAATCTAAGCAGACTGGGAAAGATGGTAAATTCTGAACGGTGTGATGAAATTAATGAGTATGTTTTTGAGCGCATGACAAAAACAAAAATATATGAGTCCTCCAGAGAAATTAAACCTTAGACCTTCAGATGGCTAGCTCACCACGTAGTTAGCTGTAGCTCAGTGGTAGAGGATCAGAGTTTGAAATTCAAAGGTCTGAGGCTCGATTCCTCGTAAGAGTTTATACTTTTCCTCTCTTCCACGTTCGTGCTTAGGTGAGGAAGCACCGTTCTTTATTAATCAACGCAGCGTTTTTGTTTTTTCCAGGCACTCAAGTTATCAAATCAGATTCTTATTGAGAAATCTTTGTTGGGTTGGAAAGAAATTGAATATGAAGTGGTCAGGGATGCCGCTGACAACTGCATCACTGTGTGCAACATGGAGAATTTTGATCCTTTGGGAGTTCACACTGGTACGGTGTGCATGTATTAATAATGATAATAATAAAAATAATAATAACATTATTCTATGGCTGTGTCTCACAAGGACTGGGAACTACCGAATTACTCGGTCGCTGGTACAGACCTCATTGCGTTCAGTCTGTACTGGCGACCTCGGTCAAGATTCTCCCTCACAGACCTCCCGCTCGGTTAGTAAGAACTAAATAATAGCACTCTTTATACATGTATATGCCAGTTGTGACAAGTGTGCATACCAGGCTGATTCGCAGGGCTTTAAGATCAGTTTCTGCAGCATTAGGCATTCAGAGATATTTTGAATATATCAACAAAGTTGAAATGGTAAATTGGCCACCGTTACGATTAAAAAAGCTGACGTTTCGAGCGTTAGCCCTTAGTCGGAGCGAATAGAGGAATTGTGGGTTGTGTGTGCTTTTAAAGGCTCCATTTTCTGCCTTTAAAAGTACACACAACCCACAATTCCTCTAATTCGCTCCGACGAAGGGCTAACGCTCGAAACGTCAGCTTTTATAATCGTAACGGTAGCCAACTTACCATTTCAACTTTGTTGATATATTCAAATTATTTGGTTACCCCCACCGACGCAGCCCCAAACAGTTTCTTTAGAAACTATCAGCCTTTACACAGAGATTTTGTTACATCTTCTGCTAGGAATATTTGTCCAATCTAGGTTATCTTCCACCCCTCTTCTTTGTCGCTAACACTTTGCTCGTATCTACCTATACATCCCTCCCATTGCAAAGAGGCTTGTTAACGAATAGAAATGATGAATATAGATTTGTTTTTTTACCAGGTGACTCTGTTGTTGTGGCGCCAAGTCAAACTCTGTCAAATGAGGAATACCACATGCTGCGAGAAACAGCCCTAAAGGTTTAGTTCCTTTCTGCACGTTATGATATTGAAATTCTGAAATAGGCCTTTTGCAGCTGGGGGTCACGTGATCAATTTTAGATATATATTATGGGATACAACTTGAAGGATACCAGAGATGGAAAGAGCATATCGAAAATACCAAAACGGCCAAGTTTGGGCCCCGGAAATTACAGAGTACTGTTTCTACAGCGGTTTGAACTTTCGGAAAATTTAGAGGATTTGTATGGAAAATGTTGCTGGAGAGCAAGGCCTTGCTCTCCAGCAACTTTTTCCTTATAAACCTTCTTATTTATTAAAAAATTCAGAGTGTCATCAAATCTCATTTTTGAATAACGGAGGCCTCAAACTTGGCCATTTTTTTATTTTCGAAGTGCTTTTTCCTTTTCTGAATTCGGCTAAGTTATAGCCCAAAATTTCATGAAAAGTAGGTCACGTGATGGCTTAGCTGCCAAAGGCCTATTCTCTTTGTTTTCATAAGAGAGGTGACCTGCAGATGTGATTTACAGTCGATTAATTATTTGTGTAGGATGTCCTTACGATCTTGAATTGACGCTTTTTGTTGTTAGGTTGTGCGCCATCTTGGTATAATTGGTGAATGTAACATACAATATGCTCTGCACCCCAAGTCTCTGGAGTACTGTATAATTGAAGTCAATGCCCGTTTGTCTAGAAGCTCTGCCCTCGCTTCCAAAGCTACAGGGTAAATAGTATGTAGACTCCGCTAAGCTCAAGAGTAGAAATCTAGATTGTGTGATTTTCATTGTGTAACACAAGGAGTTACACCGTGACGTGACAAACAAAATTTTAATGGCTTAATCAGTGACCATATTTTTCTGTGTATGGGGCTCCGCACGCGCGAAGGCACTAGCCACGCTGATGACAACTGATAGTGCTCTTGTCGATCGAGAGTTTTAAACCAAAACAAAGGTAATCACATCGACCGTTTAGTACAAGCAGCAATATTGCAAAGAGTCCGCGGCAACTCGATGTGAAAAATGATCACAAACCTTAAGCATGGTATAAGTTTGAATTTGATTGGTTGAGAGAAAAGTGCAAGTTTTTTAAGCCAATCACAGATCGGACTAAACCCTTTCACTCCCAAGATTTTAATTGTAATTCTCCTTACTGTCTGCCATCCAACTCATATGATGTTAGTCTGAAGAATTTGGTATTGGATCAACTAATAATTCCCTTATTGATATTTTTCTTTCTTCTCATTACTTGTCTGCTTGATATTGTATTGACATTGTAAAGAGAAATTCTGTCTTGGTCACTCATTTGGAGTGAAAGGGTTAAGGAATAGCGAAGATTGTCTTTGACACTCACGTCCTCCAAGTCCTTACTCTCTCTAAGGTTGCAAAATTCTCGACTTGAAATATCTTCCTTCTCGTTTAAGATTTCTTGTTGTTATTACCTTGCAGTTATCCTTTGGCATTCATTGCAGCCAAGCTCGCGCTTGGAATACAACTTCCTGACATCAAGAACTCCACAACAGAGCAAACAACAGCTTGTTTTGAACCAAGCCTGGATTACATTGTCACCAAGGTTCAATACTCTCTCTCTCTCTCTCTGGCTAAATTGATAATGCGTTAAATGCAAACGCTAACAACAAAATTAACAGACTTAACCTTAGTATAGAAAAATGTTTCCTATTCATGGCATGTTTAATTATTTTCCTTCACTGTACAAGAACCTGAGAGGCAGAGACCAAAGCTAAATTTTTCCCGTCCGCATAAACGGCGTTCTTTCTCTCTCTTCTCAAGGAGGAAGTTCGAGAGAAAAACACCCAAACAACAGTGATTTTCCTTTTTGTTTTATCCCTAGAAAGTCTGACATAACTCGTTCTTTCCTCTTTTTTTTCCACCAGAGTCGGTTACAAAGCAATTAACATATAAGTCAGACAAAGAAATGGGGTTTCATTTTTCGAGCACATTCTATACGTGACAGTTAGCAAATAGAACTCATTTGGAAAGCGTGCACTCACTCAAAACCCTCTAAAGTGACACAAAGTAGTATTTTTTATCGTTTAAGTCAATGAATAGAATTGCTTTCTCCACGAAAAGCCATCAACGATAAGGCAATTAATTCCTGTGTCCTTTTTGTCGATTACAGATTCCTAGATGGGACTTAGATAGGTTCCACATGACTTCCAAACAGATCGGCAGTTCAATGAAAAGTGTTGGAGAGGTTAGAATTCCTTTTTAACCGCTGGATGTAAAATAAGCGAAATTTGTCAAATTCAGATACCGAAGAAATAACTCCAGTTTTTGAACTAAAGGTTTAGTTTTCGCGGATTTGGTGATATTGAGAACTGATGTTATAGAAATCTATTCAGGCAACTTTATATTTCTGATCTTTATAGTTTTTTATCTCTAACTTTCTTGTCGGCTGGTTTAGTAAACACTCTTCGTAGAGGGAATATGGAACCAGTACAATATTACATTGAAACTTTCTTTAATATACACTTTAGCCACTTTTACAAACAGAGCTCTGATGAGATAGTTTTACCATATCATCAAGTTTGCAAAATTTGTAAGGTAATTTATTGAGGACAGTTTTGCGTGTGGCTGCGCAGTCTTCCTAAAGTATGGTAACTCTTTTAGACGGTTATATGCCAGCTTGATTTTAGAAATAAATTTTGAATACATATTTGTTAGGTTATGGCGATCGGTCGAACATTTGAGGAGAGCTTACAGAAAGCTTTGCGTATGGTTCATCCTTCAGTAGATGGCTTTGTGTCCAAGGTAAATACTATGAAATAATTTTTTAAAATTGAGGTCTTTATATTTCGAGTCACTCTTAGATGTTTAAGACTACTTTAAATCTGTGAGAGACGGGGCAACAAAGAGGCTAAGGATGGACAAGACTAACCCTAAAACTCCCCGAAGTGATCAACATGTAACTTCTCCCTGTAATATCCATACGTTATCCAGCAAACAGGTAATGAGAATACTCAAACTTATCAGGTAGAAGTTGGTAACTTGATCTGACACTTAATTCTCCTAACCAATTTACAGGAAATGTGTAGCAGCTGGAGGAGAGAGTTAACAATCAGATCTTGGAATTTAACGGGTTAAAACGGATTACAAACGAGGGAATTAAACAATTTAGCCGATGTCCAAAGCGTGAACCAGCCTCCCTTAATGCTTTTAGCTGTCTTCTTTTTACGTGTGAAACCCGCTGCTTGCTTGTTTTATCTTGTAGCTTCCCAGTATGCATCAGGAATTGTCAGATGGCAGACTTGAAGATGAGCTTGTTGTTCCATCAAACACAAGAGTATACTCCATCGCCAAGGTGATGAAAAAGCCCTCTCCTTTAGTTGGAAGGCGGAGATACATTACGCCACAAGTCACCGCTATCCATTCTACGGATGCGAACATACGCCAAAAGTTCAGACCAGTTTGGACTTGTACGATTTTTTTTTTTTTTTTCGGGAAAAGATACAAAAATTTTTTAAAAAAATCTCCATATGGCATGAAAATAAAAGGTTGCTAAGACGTGTTACGTCGCTGCTACCAATTGGAATCGGATCAATTTTAGTATCTGAGCTAACACGAACCCTAACTTGTTATCAGTTGACTGTTGTTGGAGTAGGGGAGGGGTGGGTGTGTAGTTGCTCGGATTCTGACTTTGATCCATGGAATCTGTCTTTGCGTAGTTTCACTCGCGGGCGATGTTTCATCATGTCTCGCAACGCTTTATCTCGGGTGAACTTGCTTTGTAGTGTCATAGACTTCCTTTGCATTGGAGTGAAGATGTAGTATGACCTGACAAACCTGCTTCTTTTTATCTCCAGGCGCTTCACCAGAACTACACTGTGGATCAAATACACGAACTGACCAGCATTGATCACTGGTTCCTGCACAAATTGGATCGTATTGTGGAAATAGAGAAAGATCTAAAGAATCAGAAACTGTAAGCTATTTTCTTCTTCGTCTTAACCCATTGATTCCTTAGAGAAAGCGACCCACATCTAATATCTCCTTGCAATATCATCCCTGAATGAAACATTTAGTCACAAGAATAAAGGAAATGATCAACAACTAAAGAACTTCTTCATTGTTAAACCGTAAATTCTCCTTGTCAGCACCTGAGAAATCATATATAGAACAGTATGGAGAATATGCTTACTGATGTGAGGGTGTGAAGGTTGAATGTGACCTTGATGTAAGTAATAGGCTTCTTAACCATTTTATTTCATTTTTAGGGGATCTTTGCAGCGGGACGACTTATTGGAAGCCAAACAAGCTGGTTTTTCCGACAGACAGCTCGCTAGACTGATAGGAGTGCCAGAAAACGATATGAGAAACGAGAGACTTAAACAAGGCGTGAGGCCTTGGGTCAAACAGGTATGTACCCTGCTCAACCGGTGCAATAAATGTAGACGACGTCAAGCGCGGGAAAATGCAATTCTCCGGGCGTGATTGAGTGAAGTTTTGCTTCTGATTGGTCGAGAAGGTGGAGTGCGTTTTCTCGGCCGATCATACAATCCATGAAGCGAAACCACTGCAATTCCAAATCTAGATTCGAAGAGACTCTTCTCTGGGAGGAACGAAAAAGACCGGACCTCGGAAAGAGGTGGAAATCGAGCCTATTTCAAATCATGTTCGGCTCCAAATTAAAAAAATATATATGCCGCAACTGGTTGTGACCTAAAGTTTTCATGTACTTGTTTAACAGATCGACACAATGGCAGCCGAGTATCCAGCGAAGACGAACTATCTGTACATGACGTACAATGGCGATGAACATGACCTGTTGTTTAATGACAAGGGTGTCATGGTGCTTGGGTGTGGCCCGTATCATATCGGCAGCAGTGTCGAATTTGACTGGTGTGCAGTGTCTTGTATCAGAACTTTGAGAAACCTAGGAATCAACACGGTAGGTTTATATCAAGTGTGAACAGCTGTTTCTGTAATATATTAGGAAGATATTGCGCGAACGTTTTTGGCGCGAAAACTTTTGAGCGAGAAAGGGTCAACTGCGCCGAACTCCCCCAGGTAGTTTATGGAGATTTCGCCCATTTCCTGTTCGCCCCATCAAATGGGGGCGGATTTGCAGTGGGTCGAAACCTTCAGATACCCATCGAGGTTTCTATACCTGGCTGAGGTCATTGTAGTGTATTCGTAGACAAGATAATTCACAACTTAAGTTAATTTTTTTATATTATCGCACAAACGGTCGCTCGACCCTGGGTCCAGTACACTAACCAATGAGCACCCTTCACCCAAACGGCTGAGATGAAGACAGTAGTTTCAAAAAAAACTCTTACCGATTGCTGATCGCGTTAAGGTTCTTAACCTCCCACATACCAGCAACACAGATGTTTTTGCCGTTATCAGGTCGTAGTGAATCATAACCCGGAGACTGTCAGCACAGATTATGATGAATGTGATCGCCTTTACTTTGAGGAACTTTCCCTTGAAAGAGTCTTGGATATATACCAGCAAGAGGTAAGTTTTTTGAAGCGGTAAATTTGCAACACATAGAATGATTATGAAGGGTTAAAATGACCGTTTTAAAATAACAACGAACCACAGATCTAGTTTGCGACAGTGCCAAACTAGAAGAAATATCTGAATTGTTTCCAGTTATCAAGGGCATATGAACAAGGCGCGGTTGTGATACACTTGATAGTGAAGGATTTAGTTTCCTTTACTTGTAGCTTACAGGTCTGCAATGGTGCCGTGATTTCAGTTGGGGGACAAATTCCTAATAACCTTGCTCTCCCGCTGTACATGAATGGTGTTAATGTCCTGGGTACCTCCCCTCTGATGATAGATGCGGCTGAAGAAAGGTTGGACAGGATTCACGATTGGTGGACAAAAGCCGCGCTCTGAATTATCTTGCTGAAAAGACTATTTAATCTCTCGTAGGTCTCGTTTCTCCGCGACTCTTGACGAGATAGGAGTGGGTCAGGCGCCTTGGAGAGCTGTTTCGTCCGTGGTGAGTAGCCGCTTTTGTGAGCCTTTTCCAGATTACTGTCGCGAAGTAAAATTTTAATCTGTTTTTGTTGTTTTAGGATGACGCGTTGAATTTTGCCGCCACCGTTGGATATCCATGTCTTCTGAGACCTTCTTACGTTTTAAGGTAAAGAACATTGTTCTTTGTTGTGTAGTACACAAAAAAGAAACAATCTTGTAGATATAACCATATGCCTGTAGCTTCCGAAACAATAGATAGTATGGCAACTAATGGCAGATGCAAAACACCATGGAAAGTTTGGTTAGCGCGTTAAATTGGCAAGTGAGGGAAAGAATTGAAAATGTGAAACAAACTGCGGGTTAAAAAAATAATGATCATAATTATTGACGGAAACACGATGAAAAGTTTTGTTAGTGCGTTAACCCTTTACACCCTAACATCAGTATGCAAATTCTCCATACTGTTCTCTATACATTTCCCAAGGTGCTGACAAGGAGAATTTGTTGAACAATCAAGAGCTTGTTTAGTTGGTGATCATTTCCTTTATTCTCGTGAGCTTAATGTGTGATTCAGGGGTGATATTGTAAAGAGAAACTAGATCCTGGTCACTCTTAGTGGTCAAGGAGTTAAGAAAGTGATGGAACGGGTAAGGTGCGGGAAGAGTAGAATAATAGTCAGCACATACCTGATTTATTGGCTGAGAAATAATACAAAACGACTTTGTTCTGTTTCTTTTCTGTACAGTGGCTCAGCTATGAATGTAGCTTACGGTCCAGTTGAACTGAAAAAGTTTTTACAAGAGGCTGCCAGAGTGTCGCAGGTATGCTTGTAATTTTTTTTTTTTTTTCTCTTTTTGGTGTTAGATCTGGCAGAGCGTCAAGTTCTGTCTGGATTGATGGTTGCAATTAGCTCTCAAGTGGAAATTTCTTCAGATTTGTCCTTTTGTTTTGAATTCAGGACCATCCTGTTGTGATGACGAAATTCATTGAGGGCGCTCGGGAAATCGAAATGGATGCCGTTGCTAAAAATGGAAAGGTTGGTGTAGTTGCCTAAAAGCGAGTCAAGGAAAGGGAAATTTTAGCGCAATATTGGAATGTTCAGAGTTTTTTTGACACTGATGCGTCGCCCATGTTGTTCTCTGTCCCAGGTCGTCGCCCATGCTATTTCTGAGCACGTGGAGAATGCTGGTGTACATTCAGGGGACGCCACCCTCATCTTACCTCCTCAGACAATTAGTGACGAAGATATCGCTCAGGTTAGAGAACCTGACAATCAACTTCGTTCCCAGGGTCTATCATCTTCCCGCCCCCCTGGAGAACGAGAGACCCTGAGAACGAGGTTGCTTGACAATGCGCTGTTTGACAAATGGATTCCATGTTGCTGTGCGTCTGTTCAGCGGTATATCACAGATGACGTCAGCAGTATATCACAGATGACGTCAGTAGTATATCACAGATGACGTCAGCAGTATATCACAGATGACGTCAGTAGTATATCACAGATGACGTCGAAATGTGATAAGAACAATAAAGTGGCACACGAGGCGTAGCCGAGAATGTCATTGATGCTCACGCCACATTTTGACATCTTCCGTGATCTCTTACAGAACTAACCCATAGCAACGTGGAATCTATTTGGTTTATAAAATGAAGGGGCAACGTGTTTTTAATGGTGACTTCATCTTTGCGTCTTTCTTTCAAAAGTTTATGAGTAAGAACCAATCATAATGCATAGCACTTAAATATAATTGAAGACAAGAACTCTCGATCGATGTAATTATGTGGGTGTGGCTTAGCACGTGCCGCCACGTGCTGCACGAGTTAGATGCAGCTGTATAACGCTAAGGTTACCTTACCTTTCACGTTTGGGTGTGGTCGGGTTTGTGTTATTACCTTTTCGCTTGGACCTTTTCTTTCTGTGTCACCATATTCTAAATATAAATTTCTTAAGGGTGTTCTCTCTTTTGCGATAAATCGTTTACAAACGTTGCACGACGGTAGATGTGGGCAGTTATCTGGTTTGAGAGCTGCAGGGTTTGAGCCGTATTTTTACAGTAATACATTGTTAAAACATTTTAACAGGTAAAAGAAGCAACCAGGAAAATTGCCGAAAAGTTTAACATCTCGGGTCCGTTAAACACGCAGTTTTTAGCCAAAGATAATGAAATCATGGTAAGATGTTTGATGTTGTTGCATAGTAGAAAAGGGTGCTAAGATACTTGGTGTCTTCAATGAGTTAAGTACGTCATTCATTTCTTGAATCTTTGTTGTTGTCTTTTTTAATTGGAAACGTTTTTATGTTGATCAGTTAAGACTGTTTTTAATTTTGTGTTCTCGTTTAAACACTCTTAGTTTTTACTGACTTATCTTTACCGGTCAGTTCTGATGTGATGTCTCTGGATCCAATAAAATGTATCCTCTTCGAGAATAACCGTCCCAAAGCACAGTAATCTGGGAAGGTCCAACCCTAGGGGTATCTGTAATACGGGTTCCAAAGGATGCCGGAATGCAACCTTCTTTTGTCTTCTCCTTCCCAATCCGTCAGGTAATGTGGGAATGCCTCAGGGGTATCTAGAATACGAGGTTTTCAGGGAAATTGCTATAAGACTAACCTTTGGAATTTTCCTCTCCATCTCGATCAGGTAATCTAGGCAAACGGCTACCCGAGGTGTATCTAAAACGCAGGGCTGTCATGTAGTTGAGTGCAATCTATGCGCTTTCGCTCATTTCTGGGCAACTCCTACCCCAGGGGTATCTAGAATACGGAGCAGCCAGGAATACCGGAATGTTACTTATTTATATATTTTCCTGTCTTCGTCTACCAGGTGATTGAGTGCAATCTGCGAGCTTCGCGTTCCTTTCCTTTCGTATCCAAAACAGTCGGCACAGACTTCATCACTGTGGCTACAAAGATAATGGTGAACTATCCTTTAGATGAACACGTGCTGCCTGATCTCTCCACACCCTTGCAGCCTGTTGGATATGTCGGCATCAAGGTTTGTGGAGTTAACGGGAGATAAAACGAATTCATGAAAGGTTAACTCATGTTGTAGAACGCCGGACTACAGTGCTAGAGGTTGAGAGACTGACTGACCAATACTCAGGGTCTTGAAATAACCGTGGAGAATCCGTTGCTTTTGCTATGACATCCGCAAATGGTTAGACATTTTATTCTTCTCGGATAAGAAGGCCTGAGACTCGATTCCTCTTCGGAACTCAGATTTTTCCATTATCCTGCGCTCGTGAAAAAAACCACTGAGATATTTCTATACTAATTTTCTGTGTTCAGGCACCGATGTTTTCCTGGCCAAGGCTGCGCGATGCGGATCCGCTTTTGAGATGTGAAATGGCATCAACGGGAGAGGTGAGACGCAAACAGTTTTCATTTGTAATTTGGTTTTATCAATTGAGTTAATAATGTAATTTGGCCACCCTAGAGAGCTTGTAAGACTGACGTTTCCAGCGCTAGCCCTTCGTCAGAGGGAATTTTCATATGAGTGCCAGAAGTGATAAGAGATTGTATGGTGTTGATTTACCGTGCCGTGTCATTGGTCTGCAAAACGTGCGCCAACGTCTCAACCAATCAAATGCAAAAACTTAACCCACTCACCACTTGGTCGCACGCGTTTTCCCGCGCTTCAAACAGTTTGCTTGTTTTCTCTTTGAGTTCTCATTGGCTCCCTAATATTTCCTATCTTCTGATTGGCTGCTGTGATTACTTTAATTTTGTTGTCACGTAAGTCAAGCACATAGTGCTGTATACGAGCTCGTGATTTGAACGTGTTTGCGCAGCAAAGGAAACGATGCTGTTTCGTAACCCGTTTACTTTTTCTGACGATGAACAGGTGGCTTGTTTTGGATCCACTGCCAATTCAGCGTTTCTCAAGGCTTTGATGTCAACTGGCTTCCGTCTTCCTAAGAAAGGCATTCTTATTGGTATTCAGGTACGATGACTGTCACTAATCCATCCTAAGATCCCGGATGCCGGGTTGTGTGTAGTGGTGAGCGCGCCGGACTCCGTAAGGAAAGGTCTGGGGTCGATCCTTGGTTAGGTTAAAGTGAAAACTTAGAGTCGGTGACACATTTAAGGATTTTACTCGCCGATCGCGGCGAATTTGAATCGCTTATTTGATCGGCGAAAAATTACCAATTTGTGATATGCCAGGTGTCGGCGATTTTATACGCCGATCGCAACAATTGACGAAAATCGTAAAACCTCTATCCTCCTTTCTTTGTTTTCTGAACAGCAATCCTTGCAGCCAAAGTTTCTCCCAACCGCCAACAAGCTTCGCCAACTGGGATTTACTTTATATGCAACAGAAGCAACAGCGCAGTATTTGAACGAACACAATATTCCAGCCCAACCTGTAGAATGGCCTCTACACAGCGTTGGCGTGAACCCGACTGCTACAAGGTAAGAATTTTTGCTCGGCGCGCTGATGTTGTTTCGCGGTATCATCTCCCTAGTTTTCCCTTTTTGTCTTCGTTTTAAAAACCGTTGCCACGGAAGGAATTTCGATCTTCGCGTTTGCAGTAAGTGTTCTCTACAGAAAGTCTATATCTGATTTCGTGCAAAATCTTCTGAAAATCTAGGGAGGTGTCGCCTGGTCGTAGAGCCACAAACGGTTGTTGCATGAAGCAAGCACGCCGCAATATAGATTTAACCGCTAAATAGCAGATTGGATGGCCCTTGATCTGCGCACATATCCCATTGTGTGTGCATGTGATCAGCGCGCGTCCCCCATGGAATATCAACGTTGCGCAAGTATTAGCTCAAGATATTCCTGTCGTTGATTTTGATCCTGAGTCTTATTTAGAACACTCTACTCATTCGTTTTCTTTACAAATTCCGAGCGTTGATATTGTGTCTAACATTTTGTCCAAAATTGACGAAAAGATAGCCACTGGTCTTGATATGATTCCGAGTAAATTATTGAAAATGGCTGCTCATATCATCGCACCCTCTCTCACCTCAATCTTCTCTAAGCCTATCCTCACGGGGATATATCTAAATGATTGGAAAACGGCCAAAGTGACTCCTCTTTTCAAAAAGGGTATTAAATCGGATCCTAACAACTATAGACCAATATCTGTAATCCCTATAATTTCCAAAGTTTTTGAAAGAATTGTTTACAATCAACTTTTTCGTTATCTAGATGATAACAAATTGCTATTGGGTTGCCAATCAGGGTTCCGTTCTCTACATAGTACGCTTACGGCTTTGCTTGAGGCAACAAATTCTTGGTCGGTAAATATCGACAATGGTCTCTTAAACGGCGTTGTCTTTATTGACCTTACTAAGGCATTCGACACCATTGATCATGAAATAATCTTGCGCAAGATGTCATACTTGGGTGTCGATCTGGCAGCTATTAAGTGGTTCTCGTCGTACTTGAGTGGCCGAACTCAGAGATGTAGTGTCGGTGGCAAACTATCATCTGCCCGTACCCTCAGTTGCGGCGTGCCGCAAGGTAGCATATTGGGTCCTTTGCTATTTTTAATATACATTAATGATCTTCCCAACTCCCTGCGGGGCGCCGCACCAAGAATGTTTGCCGATGACACCAATCTTACGATATCTGCTAAGACATTAACAGAGCTTGAGCTAGCTCTAACCCCTGAATTGAATAACCTTAGCCGTTGGCTGAAAGCTAACAAGCTCAGTCTAAATGTTGCTAAAACAGAGTTAATGATTATTGGATCAAGACAAAGACTATCTGCCCAATGTAACGACTTAGAAATCAGAATTGATGACCAAATTATCAAGAGAGTCGACAAGACCAAATCTTTGGGTCTTACTATAGATGCCCAACTCTCTTGGGGTAGCCACATTGAAGAGATTTGCAAGAAAGTCTCTTCAGCTATAGGCGCCCTAAAACGTGTACGGCCCTTTATATCCAAAGAAACTGCAATTCAAATTTATAACGCTTTGATTATGCCCCATTTTGATTACTGCAGCCCCGTCTGGGACTGTTTAAGTGGCTACTTAAGCGATAAGCTCCAAAAATTACAGAATCGAGCAGCCAGAATTATTACTAAATTACCCTTTGATACGAGCTTAAACCACCTTCTCTCCACCCTCGATTGGGAGAGGCTATCTCTTCGACGAGAGAAACAAAAAGCCCTAATGATGTATAAAATTATAAACAACCTTGCTCCCGAATATCTACAAAGTCTTTTCTCTCAGTGTCACTCTGTGGACGACATAAGAAACTCTGAGGGAAGGCTGGCCTTGTCCAAACCAAACACCAATTATTTGAAACGAAGCTACTCTTACAGTGGGGCCATGTTATGGAATAAACTGCCCAAAAGCTTAAAAAATGCTTCATCCATTAACCATTTTAGGCGAAATCTTAACGTAGTCGATATATAGGATTCCCACACGGAAATCATGTAAAGCAGTTGATTAATCTTAGTTTTTATTATGTAACTGATGATTTTCCGTGTTTAAATAAAGATTTACATACATACATACATACATACATACATCTGCGCACTTCTCCCATGGGATGTCCACGTGATTTGCGCGCTCTCCCATAGGATGTGCACGTGATCAGCGCCCATCACTTATTGGATGTCTATGTTATCTGCGTGTATCCCCCATAGGATGTCTTGGTGATCTGTGCGCATACCCACGGCATGTCCACATAATCAAAATTCGCGAAACAGGATTGATTACAAAAAGCGAATTAATTCCCACAGGTGAACCGCGATTGAAGAAATGACAGAATATGAAGCCAGAAACATTCTGGTTTCGATGTGTTTCGAACCTGTGCCTCTAAGCTGTTGGTTTGGCGTTATAACCCCGTTGAGTGTGTTTTTAATTGCTCCAGCTTTTACTGTCGTTGTTTCGTTGTAGACTGATTCAAGATAAAGATGTGGATCTGGTGGTAAATTTGCCAAATCAGAACACCAAATACATCAAAGATAACTACCTCATCCGTAGATCATCCATCGACTGTGGAGTCCCACTTATCACTAACTTGGAGGTATAGTGACATTCGATTGAATTTTTAAGATAAACAGGCAACTTGTCTGAAAACCACCACGGCGACGGCAATGAGAACATGGCGAATCAAAAGATTTAGTTAGCAGAACGATAGCTTAGCACCTGCGTTTTTAAACTTTGTACATTTTTTTAGCGCGTTCGCTGCAGAACAGCAACCTTTAATCAACAAAATTCGCGTGGTCCGAAAAACGGGAATCTCCGACGTTTATTTTTCGAACTAAACGCTACTCGCGTGTGTTTTACTGTCTCCTCTCCTCTGTTTAGGTAGTGAAGATGTTTGCCGAGGCTCTTTCAGAAACCGGCCGCAAAATCGATGCCACATCTCTCTTCCACTACCAGAAGTCCTCCCAAAGAAATGCAACGCCTTGAAACAGAGGTCAGGCAACTCATCAGATCTTCCCCTACCCCCAAGAAAGTTTACTAAAGATTAAAGGCTCACTCCTGTGGACTTAATATAATTTGTGCGAGAAAAAGTACCAAAAATGGTATAATTCAATAACAGTGTGTTCAGACAGATATTTGTGTAGGTTGTAAACTAGTATATATTTAAGGGAAAAATAAACGAGGCATACATAATTTAGTGTTTTTTGCGTATGATAGATTTTACTTTACGGTTTGTTGCTTGCGCAGCACTTTGAGATTTTCTTTAGTCAACATCGTGCAAAATACGGAACAAGCAGACTATTACTAAAAGCATAGTGGACTATGTGAATTTACAATACAAGCAATTTGAAGTTAATTATCGAAATAAATTCGAAAGTGCAGTGGTTTTCTCTCTTTTGCTCTTTTGTTTTTTTTTTCGTTCTGTGATTGGTCGAGCAAACTCACCTCATCTCTTCAACCAATCGAATGCAAAAACAAAACTAATCCCGATGTGGTCACACGCGTTTTCCCGCGCTTCCAGCAATTGCGTCCTCATTGGCTGCTTCTGATATATTCCTTTGTTCCGATTGGCCAATTTGATTCATATTGGTAATAGTTTAAATCGTGTGCTTTGATGAAATGAAGACATGAGCGCTTCATTTGGTTGAGATAACCAACGCGTTTTACATTCACTTGATGAATGGTCAAAATAAGATAAATTGATAACCAAAATAGAGCCATGACGATGCAACTGTTTTACGACGAACATCAGCTCATATGCACTGGGGAGCGTGATCCGATTTTACCATCGCGGTTGACTCAACAGAAATATGATACTTTTCGCGTGAAAAGGTTCTAAAATTAAAAAAGGGTTGGCTTAAGGAATCAATGGAGCTAGAGCTAGGTTCCCGTCGATGGGCTCCTGAGGAAACTCAATTTTAAAGTACTTACGATCTGTGCTACTAGCAGGTTAAGGGTTGTGCAGATAATGCTCTTGAAATTTTCCTTAAAGCTTGTCTGGGAATGAAGTGAGGTTATGATGAAATTGAAATTCTGCAAGAGTTATTTCTAACGGTAAGATGTTTATCTAAATTCCAGTTGCTACACCTTTTTTCATCAAATAATTATGAAAAGCAGTGAAAAATTTTACAAATCGGAATGTATCCAGAGTATTCAAGCTTTATGAAACTAAAATAATCCAAAAACCTGAATACCACTTGACGATTAACTTTGCCAACGGAATTAAGCTACGCACGATAGATCTACTGCTATTCTTAGACCTTATCGCAGATTAAGTACATGTTTTGGATTATCTTGGCTTTTTTTTTTTTTCCTATAATCGGTTCTACATAAGCTTCTTGGCCTCCGTACTCACCGGAAGGTTTTAGGATGATCTCTAAATGTAATCCCGTTATCGCACTGGTGTAATGTACTTCTGGAGCTTTGATTACAAATCAAGCAACTAGAAAATCTCTACCCCACTCCCCCCGCCCCAACCATCCTACCCCCCCCCCAATTACACGCCAGCCTGCAAAAAAAACTCGTTGCAAGTTCTGCCTAGCCGTTTGTCAGTTGCCGTAAAGTGTATTCTTCTGACTTTCTTAACCACAGTCTTAACCACAATCTTTCTTAACCACAATGTTGCGCCTAAACACAGCTGATTATCAGTCTCGAGGTGACTCACTGTTCCCTGCGCCTACAGCCTGTGTTCTGTATGGCTATACACTTCCTCCCTTTTCCTGCTTCCATTTTTCCCCCTCCCGCTTCACACGTAGTGAAGGATCAATTTTAGTGTCTGAGCAACTGCGTACCTACCCCTCCCCTAACGCAACATTAACCCAAACTTATTATTATTTAACTATTGTTGGGCTAGGGGAGGGGTGGGTGCGCAGTTGCTCGAAAACTGACATTCCCTTTCACTACATCTGGGGCGGGAGGTGGGAGAATGGAACTGGGACATTGGAACTCGAAAACGACGTATTAGGGCAAGCTGCATGAATAATGCCTTCGTTGTTTCGTTTCCAAATGGCATCAGTTTTGCTGAAGAGAGGAAATATATCTTTATCTGAGGGATTTTGCTGGTAATCATATTTAGATGATCAGGTCTTGATTCGTGTGATAAGGATATACTCCTCAGGGATAACTTCATAACTTCAAAGCTCAAATTGCCTCACTGGGACAATGAGTGCGGGTTATAGCCACGAATTTTGTTCATATCTTTCTTGCAAAGGAGGCGTAATTTTTGTTTCCGTTTCTCAAACTCGCGGACTCCAACGCGAGGCGAGCGCACGGAAAGCGCGAGGCGAGCGCAAAAGAGCAAAAGTTTGCTCTGCGTTGCCTCTTTTTTCGGCATCCATACGATTTACACAGCGGATAATAATAATAATAATGGTAACAATGCTAATATAATGATGATTACAATAAAGATGATGATGAAAAAAATTGTTATTTCAATGTGCTTTTTTTGTGTGCAATTTTTATTAAAATGTTTTAATGCGCATTACAGATCTGAAAATCAAGGAAAATTTACAACTTACAACAACAAAGAGCGATCATTGGAAGTATCCCCTGAGTGAGGGGATGCGGGTTCAACTGATACGTTTACCTTCTTTTGTTTAAAACGAATCAGAAAAAAAAGCGTCGATGGAGGTTATTTTTTTGAAGCATAAATCCTATGGTTCGTTGAAAGGTTGTGTGTGTATTGCTTCATCTCATCGGGCCTTTTTAAGGAGGACCAAATTAACAAATTGGAATTAGGGATTTGCGTGCTGAGAAGAAAAACACAGGCTTTCGATTGTAAAGACTTTGCCAATAAAGTAATTCCATGATCTTGTTTCCACAAAATATTTGGTTAAGCCGACTCGTCTATAAACAAAGAACCATCCTACACGTACCACCCATTTTCAACTTCCACCAGTTATCAATCTTCATACTCTACCCACAAAGTCATTGTGTTGTTTAGAAGACAGGTATGGAGAACATCGCATACCGGGGAACATATATTGTAGGTGTCGTTTCGGTGACCGCATTCACGATTTTTTTCTGTCGTTCTTGTCGTAGACAATTCAATTATACCGGGGCTAAACCCCATCAAGAGCAAAATCAATTGAAATTTTAACCAATGCGGACACAAAGGGTGTATTAGATTATTTCCGCCGCAAAGGTATATTAAAAGGAGGATGTGTTTTCTTTTGACATCTGAAGTGATTTTTTTATGAGGGTATTAGCATTTTGAAGCAAACCACGCTGTCATCGCATCCGTTTTAAACAAAGGCCAAGTCCCTCGCGGTCACTTGTGACGTCATGGTTTCCTGGCACGGCTCCGGTTTGCGGATTCTTGTAATACTTCAAAATAAGTTTTTGGGTTCGCACTCATAATGAGTTTTTATCAGTTTCGTAAAACCGCATTAACCAAAACATCTGGTCGTCATTTCTTGTTTTGTACTAATAGCGCAACCTAGATTTTATCAGGAATTGTCTTCTTTCCAAGAGACACAAGTTAGTCACAGTTTTTATCCGGATGTCGAAACTCAACCTAATTAAACTTAAAAATCCTTCGCAAATTTTGCATATTTATCTTTTAAATCCCTTCTAGGGTTTCTCCTCCAGTCATCGTAAAGCCATGCCCTTAATCAAATCAATGACAGGCAACGGATTTATGAAAGGAACGGCAAGTCGCGGCTGGCCCTAAGTTTAATTTGGTCGCTTGGCTGCATCAAAACAATAACTTCGTTTTCGAATTCAATCTCACGGCGAAATGTGTCATTGCAAACAAAGACGCCCTAAGTACACTGTTCTTTTGTTTGAATATAGCTTCCTGTAACTTAGAGAATATTCGTCTCGGTGTGAAAGAAAACTTTGCATCGCAACTAAGGATAGAGAGAAACCTTGGAGATTTAAACTCCATCGCAAACGAGTCTTACAAGCTGGAAATTGTAACCTACAAGGAGTTTGTGTGGTAAGCCATCACAATTTATTCATAAACTTAGACAGTTTAAAAATAGTGAAGTATTTATATTCACATAACATAAATGTATTACTCACAATTGGAAACGTTTTACAATCGTAATCGCAGCTATCTCCCTCCATGCCAAACGATTAATTTATGTACAAAGATACAAATTTCATAAGCACAGCGAATTTTCCAGGTTTAAAGTTGGAAGGAAAAAGTTCAGTGATATAATATCAGCCAAACAATTTCCTTGCGCTTTGCGTGAAAAAAGTTTTGCCTTATAACCGGCTATGTGAGATTTACTCGATCAAAATTTCGATGAAAAAAATTTTGTTTTAGATGGTTAAAGAAACACGAGTATGAGAGAAATTTTGGTAGGCTTCTTTGTGGTTTAAGTAAGAATTTAAAAAGTTCGACGTGCGTGACTTCAGCTATAATTTGTTCAGTGTAACAAGGCGTGTGACTCTCTAGACAATGACTGACTACAGGTCAAAAAATGACTTGAGGGCAAATCGGATGATTCTTTTAGCTTTATGTATTTTTATCCCCGCAAAGTAGTTTAAGCGCTTAATGGAAGATCGATCAATAACGTGATGTTCCAAGTGGCAGATATATTTAATTTGTGTGCATGGTCGAGTTTGTAAATTAAAGACAAAGTAATGTGTAAAAAGAACATTGTGATCGAAACAGGTGGAAAGAGTCTCTGAAGCTGTTTTCATCCTTTTTCCTATATTTCATTCCTAGCAGCAGAGTCCGCCCGTTGTTGGATTACGATCTTTGTAACAACGCGTTTTAATTTAATACCTCTCCTACATGCCTGGCAAAGTAGCTTTGCTTCTGTATCCATGGCTTGTCGTTAAACTTTTAAGCTTTTGCTAGATGAGAGAAATTTCCAAACGACATTGAAAAAAAAATTAGCGCTCTAAAAATCCTACTAAATGACAAAAAACTAAAGGAAAAGGACAGCGAACTTCAATTTCAAGCCGTTAAAAACTCGCGCGCAGTTTGTTGTATTCAAAACAACCATATTTCATTAAGCTTTCTTTCTTTTCGTTTACATCTCCTAAGGGGACCACGTGTAGAGATATAGATAAGGTATAAACAAATGCAAATTATAAATCACTTTTTGGATGTTTTTCCGTGGGTAATAACAATAGACGTCTAATAGTCTTTCCGTGAGAAATTGAATTAATTTGACTATTGAAAATCGATTCTATTTTTGTGGGTTTCTAATGAAACATTTGCGGTAAAATGATTGGGTATTCCCTGCTTGGAAAAATAAAAAGAACACCTCGTCCATCTGGACTTCAACCATTGCACTATCAGTTTTTAAGATATCGATGCTCCACACATATTTGCCATACATTTCTTACAATTCAAGTTCAGAGAATTTGGTTTGAATCATACGATATCCCTTGGCTGATAATTTTGTTTCTTCAGTTCTGATGACTT